CCTGTACTGTCAGGGTTGCTTAGCTCGCTGTCAGACTGCAGCTCCGTATGTCTCCTTTTTTTTGGTATTTTCACGCAAATTCTTCTGCTAGTTGGGGTTTAGTCCACTTCTGTATCCTTCTCTTCAAGGCTCAGGGGTCCAAGATTATCTTCTGTGTCTGTGTTAATTGGTTTCCCTTTTCTTTGTTGACGAGGGTCTGTGCAGTCCTTCTGCCTAGTCGGCCATCTTGCCGGAACTCCCATTTCTTTTTTTTTTAAATACCTTTTATTGAAATACATTTTATGTACAGTGAAATGCACAAAACTAAAGTGACATGGGTCAACACCTTTTTTTTTTTTGCAGTCTCTCCCTTCCCCTCTCACCCTGGAACCAACAAAGAAAGTCTCTTCCTATATATAAACCTTTCTTTGACTTTTTACAATAATGAACTAATACTGTATTTGTCCTTCTGTGATTGACTTATTTCACTCAGCATAATGTCCTCCAAGTTCATCTATGTTATGTGGTGTTTTGCAGATTCTACATTATTCTTCAGTGTTGCATAGTGTTCCATTGTGTATATGTACCATAGTTTGATTATTCATTCTTCTGTTGATGGGCACCTAGGTTGTTTCCATCTTTTTGCTATAGTAAATAGTGCTACGGTGAACATGGGTGTGCACGTATCTGTTCTTGTCCTGGCTCTCACTTCTTTAGGATATATACCTAGAAATGGAATGGCTGGGTCAAATGGTATTTCTAATTCCAAGCTTTTTAAGGAATCGCCATACTGCTTTCCACAGTGTTTGTATCATGTGACAATCCCACCAGCAGTGTATGAGAGTCCCAATCTCTCCACATCCTCACCAGCATTTGTTATTTTCTGACTTGTTGAACTTTGCCATTAGTGCTGGAGTGAGATGGTATTTCATTTTTGTTTTCATTTGCATCTCTCTGATGGCTAATGATAGTGAACATTTCTTCATATATTTACTGGCTGCCTGAATATCCTCTTTGGTGAAGTGTCCATTGCGTTCTGCCCATTTTTAAATCAGATTGTTAATCTTTTTGTTTTTGAGGTGTTGGAGTTTTCTATAAATATTAGAGATAAGTCCCTTGTCAGATATGTTGTTGCCCAATATTTTTTCCCACTCTGTAGGTTCTGTTTTTACTCTTTTGGCAGTTTAATTATCAACACGTATGAATTTGTTGCTATCATTTTGTTATGTGCTTTTTCATGGTGTTGCTGATTTCTTTGTTCCATATAATTTTCTGTGCTGAATTCATTTTGTTGATGAATCATATTATCACTTCCTTCTTTGCTATTGTTTTTGTATTTGGTAAATATTTAAATGTGAAGGTTTATTATTTTTCTTTGAGGTTACCCTGTGATTTATTATTTTCTTCCCAAGTTTAGAACAGTCTGTTCTATCTTGCAGTTTCCTTGACTTCCCTACCATTTAGAAGTTCTGTAACTACACTTTTTTTTTTTTTCTGTTTTTGGTTGGTAGTTGTCTTCACTTGCCAATTGCTATCTCTGGTTCCCTGTTTACAATCTTGTAGGCTTATTTACTTTAGATACTTCCATAACTGGGTTGATTTCTGGGTTATGTCATGTGTGTTAATAGTCAGTTGTTGTTTGCTATTGTTGAGTCTCTGTCCAAAGGACTCCGTATAGCGTCTC